CTTGTTGATTTTGAATTCCATCCATGCCAAATTCAGAGCACTTTCCATATCCACTATCAAGAGAAGTAGAATTAATTCAGTTATATGTCTCTTATAAGCTCTCTTCATCTCCCGGTGTTCTACAATACAATACAATACAATACAATACAATACAATGTTCTTTATTTCGAGAGGGTAGATACATGATTAACCCAGTAAAGAGTTTTCTAACACATGGCCCTCTAATAAACCCACCCAACCTCCCCCCCCAGGGGAGGACATCCATCACACAGTAATCTCGTGTGTGGGAAATTAACGTCTCCTACCCCATCCCTGCAGGAGACGGGACCTCCATTTATTCGTCCCTATCCGACACGAAGCACGCTTTTACCATCTTGAGCTTTCTCTGGTTTGATGCTACTTTAAGCATATTGCGTCCTCATTGGGCTTGATTACCAGGACATGTAAAATTCATGACTCATTACAAGTTGTGAACGGAAAAGAGAAACCAGGAAGTAGCCAGTCTTTAGTGGGATATTTACCTAGTCATTTGTCTATTAGAAAGCGAATGATGTCTTTTGAGATTTCTCAGGTCCACACAAGGTCTCGATAAAAAGTGCCAATTTGTGATTTTTTTTTACTTAAGTTTACATTTATTACTTTCTCGCCCCCTGCATGCTCATAGTTGCTATACAAAAATCAGTGTAACTCCAATCATTCCAATTATATCCGAAGACTTCCGAAGAAATTTAGTAGTTTCGAACACATCCAAAAAAACCGTGCTCCGTTGTGGGATTTTGGCCAATATAGTGGCCGCTTTTGCGTTTTGGCCACTAGGGGCCCTTTTCCCATTTTAACCACTAGTGGCCACTGCTGGCCGTTTTGGCATTTTAGCTAACGATAGCCGTTTCAACAACTTGGCCACTAATAGCCCTTTTAGCGCTTTCGCAACTAGTGGCCGTTTTAGTATTTTTGGCCATTCAGGTGGCTGTTTCGGCATTTTGGCCATGCACTTGTAGCCGTTTTGGCATTTTAGCCACTAGTGGCCGTTTTAGCATTTTGGCCACTAGAGGCCGTTTTCGCATTTTGAACACAAGTGGCGGTTTTGGCATTTTGGCCACTAGTGGCCGTTTTGACAATTTGACCACAAGTGGCCATTTCGGCATTTTGGCCACTAGTGGCCATTTTGGCATTTTGGCCACCACTAGTGACGGTTCTCCCATTTCGACCACTAGTCGCCGTTTTAGCATTTTGGCCACTAGTGGCTGTTTTGGCATTTTAGCCACTAGTGGCGGTTTTGGCATTTTGGCCACTAGTGGCCGCTTTGGCATTTTGGCCACTAGTGGCCATTTTGGCATTTTGGCATTTTGGCCACCACTTGTGGCTGTTTTGGCATTTTAGCCACTAGTGGCGGTTTTGGCATTTTGGCCACTAGTGGCCGCTTTGACATTTTGGCCACTAGTGGCCATTTTGGCATTTTGGCATTTTGGCCACCACTTGTGGCTGTTTTGGCATTTTAGCCACTAGTGGCGGTTTTGGCATTTTGGCCACTAGTGGCCGCTTTGGCATTTTGGCCACTAGTGGCCATTTTGGCATTTTGGCATTTTGGCCACCACTTGTGGCTGTTTTGGCATTTTGGCCGCTAGCGGCGGTTTTGGCATTTTGGCCACTAGTGGCCGCTTTGGCATTTTTCCTGTTGTTACTGATGTATGCAAANTTTGGCCACCACTTGTGGCTGTTTTGGCATTTTGGCCGCTTGTGGCTGTTTTGGCATTTTGGCCACTAGTGGCGGTTTTGGCATTTTGGCCACTAGTGGCCATTTTGGCATTTTGGCATTTTGGCCACCACTTGTGGCTGTTTTGGCATTTTGGCCGCTTGTGGCTGTTTTGGCATTTTGGCCACTAGTGGCGGTTTTGGCATTTTGGCCACTAGTGGCCATTTTGGCATTTTGGAATTTTGGCCACTAGTGGTGGTTCTCGAATTTCGACCACCAGTAACCGTTTTAGCATTTTGGCCACTAGGAGCTGTTTCGGCACTTTGGCCACTAGTGGCGGTTTTGGCATTTTGGCCACTAGTGGCCGTTTTGGCTCTTTGGCCACTAGTAGCGGTTCTTGCATTTTGGCCAATAGTAGCCGTTTTGGCATTTCGGCCATAAGTGGCCGCTTTGACATTTTGGACACTAGTGGTGGTTTTGGTATTTCGGCCACTAGTGGCGGTTTTGGCATTTTGGCCACTAGTTGCTGTTTTAGTATTTCGGCCATAAGCAGCCGCTTTGCCATTTTGTTTTGACAATTTGGCCACTAGTGGCCTTTTTAGCATTATGGCCACTAAGGGGTGTTTTAGGATTTTGGCCACTAATGGCAGTTTTGGCATTTTTGCCGCTAGTGGCCGTTTTGGCATTTTGGCCACTAGCATTCGTTTTAGCATTTTGGCCACTAGTGGCCGTTTCGGCATTTTGGTTACTACTGGCAGTTTTGGCATTTTAGCCGCTAGTGGCCGTTTTGGCATTTTGGCCACTAGTAGCCGTTTTAGCATTTTGGCCACCAGTGACCGTTTTGGCATTTTTGCCACTACCGGCAGCGTTGGCATTTGGGACACTAATGACCATTTTGGAATTTTGGCCATAAGTGGCCCCTTGGGCATTTCAGCCATAAATGCCACTTTGACATTTTGGTTACTAGTTGCCATATTTGCATTTTAGCCACTAGTGGCCATTTTGACAATTTAGCCACTAGTGGCTGTTTTGCCATTTGGCAACTAGTGGCAGTTTTGGCTATTTGGCCACTAGTGGCTATTTTGGCTATTTGGCCACTACTGGCTAGGCTTAGCCACAAGTTGCTCGGCAATTTTTTGGCAACTTTTGAGATTTTCGGCAACTTTTTAGAATTTTAGCAACTCTTAGAGTTTTCGGCGACTTTGGGCTTTCTGAGGTTATTTGAAGCCACTTTCTTCACGTTTTGAGCCACATTGGTCAGTTTTCGATAGGCATTTATTCAATTTATTCTAAAATACAATAATTAGGGCCCCCCCATGGGTTGATTTTTGTGATGCCTTATCCCGAGGTCAGCGGTATCACGTTGCACGTTATTCAAGATAGCGGACAATTACAGTGTCTATTTGTTGATCAAGTGAAATGGAAAGAACCTCTGATATTACCACTGGACTTTGACAAATAAAGTTTTGATAAGAAGCAATGTGCGAATTTTTGATCTTTAAAAAAAGGTACGAAAAGCAGAAAAATTTTGGCAACTTTTCGGC